ATGTATATATATAGAGTTCGATGAATCGCGCCGTTCATTAATTCCGGATTCGATCGACGATTACAAGGTTCGTGGTCAGACACACACATTGCGGGACGTGGGAAGGGAGTCGGTGGACTTTCGTGACGGAGCTATAACGATCGTTCGATTCTCATTGAAGTAAAACCTTCTGAGAGTTATGGTAGAAGAGAAATGTTGCGGTATCTTAATCGATCGAGGCAAATCGTGATTATAGCTCCGTCAAATTTAACATAGACGTACAGATCCGGCGCGAACGCACGACTACGTTTTCTTTCTTTTTTACAGTGGTCGATCGAACATCTTGAAAGCTAAACCCTCGCGAAACAGTTATTCATTGATATGCATATATCCCGACGATTCCGAGGAATCCGAGGACCCAGCCACCGGCTTCCATAGCACGTGTCTTGGATCGTCTTGCTCATCCAGAACTTGCGGCACAGTGATTCTCTTCATGGACCGCGCGAGACACCTGTATTCGAGATACGAAGACGATTCGTCAGCCGGCCGAGTTTTCTTTCAATCATCTTTTCTCCAGACCCTCTTGACATCGGGTGTCACTGGCACTATGACTAACCCATCTACGTCTTCCCCTACGGTGCTGATTAAATCACTGCCCACCAGGTTCGCGTGGACAATGCGTCGTTTCAGTGTCCTCACTGATCCCCTAAGACTCTCTAACGCTGTGTTTAGAATACCATTTACTTATATCCTGTTTTCGTATTATTATTATTATTATTATTATTATTATTATTATTATTATTATTATTATTATTATTTTAAGTTGCATTATTTTTTCGATTGTTCTTCGTTCGGGGATTCCCATTTCGAAACGATCGACGGGTTCTATCCGATTCTGCGGTTCCCACGTGACATACGGTACTCGTGGCACGATCCATGTTGCTCCGCGTGGGCAGTGATTTAAATCCGCAATTATTTTTTACCACAGCCAGTTGAGATATTTACCGGTTCCGAAGAATCCTTTCTTAGCCTTGTGGTCGCCGCCATTTTTTCTAACTCCCGGTGATACCGTCGCGGTCTTTCTGCTGTCCTTCGATGTGAGCTTGTTAATCGGCTTCAGGGCCGGCAGTCCCAATTTGTCCGACCTCTCAGCACCGTGTGCTTTGCCCTTGCCCTTCGCCATCGGACTGACTTTGGTGGCCTTGGCGACCTTGGTGCCGTGGGCGACCTTGGCAGGACAGCACTGGTAGGGCTCATAGGAGGGAATCTTGGGTTTCGCGCTTTTACCTCCCATGCCGATGTAGAAACAGCCGTCGCCTGCAGTAAGCAAATATACAACGAGTCA